AAATATGAAATTAAGATTCTTGACTTGGGGCCTAGATATTAATTAGGTAAAAGTCATAGTCAAAAGGATCATGCCACAATTGAGCACCATTGTTAAGTTGACTTGTTTTTGATTGCTATTGACTCACTATTGCAAGAATCAGATTTCAGATTTAATGAGAATGTAGTGAAGTTGCTTACTCTTGGTACATCTTTGGACCCTCAAAATGATGTCAAAGCGTTTGATGTTGAAATTGCAACCATGCAAATAAATATTACCCTAATGACTTTACTGAGCATGATAAAATGTGTCTACGCTATTAAATTGGATCTATTCAAGTTTGACATTATTCATAATCAGGTTTTGAAAATGTATCTATACTTTTTGAATTATGTTAAGTGTTAAAGAACACGAGAATATCAAAAGTTTACTTGTTGATAGATTAATCCAACTTGTCTTGACTTTTTCAGTTTCCACTATAACATCAAAGCATTCATTTTTTACTATGAAATTTGTTAAGAACATGACTTGTAATAATATGTCAAATGATATCCTTAGAAATTCATTGATCATTCTCATTGAAAAGGAAATCATTTGAAGCTTTGATATTGATTCAGTGACGATGCCTTCAACTTTATAAAAGATCGTCAAGTTCAATTAAAGATGTCTAATCTTAGCATGCAATAATTGTTTTAATAGGTCTTTATTTTTTATTTAACACGTAGCTGGAATAATTTGTGTAATTTTCATATGAATTTTTTCCAATCTAAGCTACTTTATGTTTCTGTCAAAAAATGAATTTCTAGTATGACTATTTTATAGATATTATCTTTGCCCCTCAAACATGAAATCCTAGCTCAGCCCAACCAAGATTTATATATTCCAAAGGCTTACATTTTGCTTTAAATGTTCTAATCTATTTGGTGGTAGGTGACTAGGACTTCCTGATTATAAAATTGTCATGAACTCAAGTGCCAGCAAGACCTACACAGATGACTACAGGTAAGTGATTAAAGAAGAAAATAGTGGAATTTAAATCTAAAAGCAAGCCTAGTCTTCGTCAAAAGTGATTATAAAAATTACTGGAGGAAGTTAATAATATAAGTATTCTTAAAAATTTTCGAGTGGATTCGTGGAAATTGGTGTGACTATACCTTGTTAGATAAGTCAGTTTTCTTCTTATGGACCTCACGAAGAAAGATAAGTTAATCAATTAGGTTTAAAATTTTATAATTTTAACTCACATAACTTATTTATCGTTAAATTTGACCCATATTTACTCCCTATCAAAAGATAGGTGTGAGCAAAATTAAATCGGACTAAGGACCCAATTGAATTGACTATGATTTGAGTAAAATGGTTCGGTCCAATTGGTCCAAAAAATTTGATCCAATTGGTTTATTTGATTGGTTTCTGGTTTTAAATCTTTTGAATTGAACTGACCAAAAGATCAAACTAATATAAATAATTAAAAAATATAAATAATTATATTTTTTATACTCTTTCAATTGTTTGCAGCCTTTGTGCATGAGATTCAAGTTGATGATGTGCAATGGTTGATTGTCTTATATTAAATGATTTTATATTGTGAATGTTAATTTTATTATCTTTGTTATGTTGAGTCTTGAATGTTTTTTTTTTTTGAAAAAGTAATTTTATTAGCCTCAGCAACCTTTATGCCATTTCAAGTCTCTTGCTTGTTTGCAATAGACTTCCCATTGCACATTGACTTGGTCTGGGCATTAGAAACCTGTACACTTACAAAAGAGACTGCACAAAAAGCCATTGGTGGTATAGATTATGTATCTTAAACTCCTAAAACTAAATCGCAAGGAAAGTTTTAAAGCTGCTTGCCCTTAAGTTTGATGGTTTATGTCAAAGGACATAATTATATGAATGAAAAGATAAATATTATGTTTTTTTTTTATGTTTAGATATTTATGTGTTTTGTAATTATGGATGGAGTTTATAAATTTTAATATT